GGAAAGAGTTTATGCGAGATGAAAAGTAAAGGAAATGTATTAGCAGTCCGCCAGGAAGAAATCATAAGACAATGATTTTTGCGTATGAAACATTTCAGTTTGCCTCGGTACATGTTAGCATTGTTCCTTTGCACAATGTGATATTTTGCAAATGGTAGAACAAATCTTATGGTATCGCGGGTAATGTCACTATATAGTGGCACGGATTCTCGAGTATATTAGCAAAGGACAAATCATTAGTACAGGACAAATCATAAAGATTACAAAAAGAAAAAATGATCCACTATAAAACATATTAATGTCTTCCGATACCCAGGATCGCTCGAATTTAAATCGAAAATATGAACTACGATTCTCTAATTTCGTAACTAATGCTTCTAGGCAGAGAATTTGCCAATAATGAGAGCAATTTTATTTTAGGCTGAGGATGTTTTGCTGCTTTCTGCTATTTTATATTCTTTGAAAAGAAATTTGTAATATTACAAATTTTTTAATATTTTGTAGGGTGATAGCGGAGGTCCGTTAGTGATTGATGGAAAAATTGCCGGAATCATTTCAGTTTCGATTCCGTGTGCCCAAGGTGTACCAGATATATATGTCAGAACACATTATTACATCGATTTCATAAGACACATGATGATTTTATAATTCACGTTATCTTGTCATTTTTTAATAGTCGCCCAGATTATTCTTACATATTGAGAATTGTAGTCCTACAATTGTTGTAGGATGTAATAATAAAAATGCATATTTTCCAATTAGTTATTAACTGTATTATTCAGTCGTTAATGTTATACTAATCATATTTCCGTAAGTTGTAGGTGGGGTCCAAACACCTTTCAATAATATGTTTTTTAATCAAAACCTGTGATTATGTAACACGATCAGATTTTCGTTTGAATTGCCGAAAATACTCTTTCTTGCGTTTAATTACGATAATAATTAATGCTACAAACATACATATATATTCATTATTTTTAATTATGCCATTATTTTTGATAATATTTATCATAAAACGAATTAATTTAAGCAAGCGATATCGACTAATTAAAAACTTATAGTATAATACACAGTTGATAATGAAATTGTTTATTAACTCTCGTAATATGTCTTATGTAATTACATAGATACATTACAAGATGACATTTTGTTTTTTTCTTTCGAAGCTATGTTGTTTCTAAACTTATATTTGTTTAATGTAGATAAGAAATATATTAGTTATATTTCGAAATAATACTGCAAGATGCTTGGCTTTGATTATTATATAATTTGCTTTTAAATCGTTTGGTTGTCGGAAATATAATAATCTTTTTGCTAATGTTAATAATTTATTTTGTAAGTTTAGATTTATAAAATGTAAAATTATATCATTCATAAAAAAGTTTTCGGGTCTCAAGCATCAGTTTTTATTGTATTTTCATTTTTAACATAATCAATAATAACAAGTATTTACGTTATTACATTACATTATGATAGTACAACTTATTGTGATATAAAAGTAATTGGAAATATATTGATATATAACGATGATTTTCTTCAAATATAATATAATATCGTTGTGGATAATGGCAAATGGAATATTCTTTTCATAATAGTTAAAATAACTTTTCCAATTGTAATTTTCTTATATGTAGTGTTAAAGTTGGTGAGAAAATTCTATAATTTACATTTTTAAAATAAAGCATATGTTAAAATCATGGATCATATAAATAAATTCTTAATAAATTTTTCTAAATAAATTTCTTTAAATATTTAATACTTTAATAAAATTATAACAAAATAAACAAGTACTGGAATTAAATTGAGTATTTAAGAATTTATTTGTACAAGTATTCCTCTATATATACGTAAATTCAGTAAAGGAAAATTAATTATAAAGAACAATATAAATTTGCAAAATTTATATTGGATTATTTAAATCAAATTTGGATATTAAAACAAAGATTTGCTAAAGAAATTTGTAACGAAAACAAAGACAATTACAATGGATAAAGTAAAATTCTAAAATTTGATTTTGATTTTTTATTACAAGTTCTAAAATTATTATAAACAATTCCAAAAAAGATTTTTTGTGATATCATATAGAAGTTTACTATTAAAATATTTATCATTTTATCAAAATTATAAATTGTATGTAATGGTATCAACGCACAACTAAATTTGAATTTCATTCGTAAATACGAAACAGAAATTTCATATTTAATGATAATATACGTATATAATGACTTTTAATGTTACCAAATTTTAACTCCATTTGATTATGTTAATTCTTGCATATCATACAAAGTAAATGCAGTTGAATAAAAATACGTATAAGCAAGCATAATTAATAGTTTAATAAGGTCATAATAATAAACAAATTTTTAGGCGCTTTTGAAAAGAACGTTCATGTATTTGGAGGTGAAAGCACATATATAAAAACTTATACAAGAAAAATAGTTTTCCTATATTATCTTATCGTTACGTTAAATGAACGTATTTACTTATCATTACGAAAATATTTGATTATCTGTTCTTTGCGTTTATTTTAAAATATAATTTTCTATGATTTTAATTGTTAAGAACATATTCACTTAAATCTTTATTTTACATAATGTAATGCGTATATAAAGACCGGTAAAATATATATTCTTACCTATTTATTTAGAATATTCAATATGAGATATCTAATTGCAATTTGTATATTTGCACTCCTAACTATCGGTAAGTTTATTTTTTAAATTGTTTAATTGATTATGTTAAGATTTATTTAAATGTTATATAGTAGTATGAAATTATCCACAATATATGGATAAGATACTGTCGAAGCTTCTTTGAATTTAAATATTCTAATAGATTAATGAATAAATAAACAGTTTCCAGTTATAAGTAATATTTTATAAGGGTTTTAGAAAAAAAATTAGTTATTACAGAAAATGTATAAATATTAATATTATATTAAAAATAAATATTAATATATATTAATCGTATAAAATCATACAATATTTATTATTTATCCTACAACCTTTTCATTGTTAATGATTCGAATATGTTGCTAATTGTAAATTATAGGCGCTCTCTCAAAAAATGTGCGAATTCTTGGTGGCACAGAGGTAAATGTGAGAGCATATCCATTTATGGCCTTATTGAAACATATCAACCATCATGAAATTATATGCAGTGGAGTAATAGTAAGTAATAAGCATATTCTTACAACGGCTAGGTGTCTTAAGTATGATGTAAATTTTTTGAGAGGAGTGAAAGTCTATACAGGCACAATTTCTACGGACACAAATCTAGGAACTCAGCATAATATTGAATTGATTTTCAGTCATCCAAGATTCACAGGTGTAATGATTGACGATGAAATGAATCTATATGATATTGCTGTTATTAAGGTAAGATACTTATCATACTTATAATAAAATTCTGTTTACAAGTAATTGTCTGCAAATTAATTACTAAAATCATTAATAAATCTTAACATTCATCATAAATGAATCAGTTTTTCGAACTGGTGAACATAATCAATCTTTGTTTATAGCTCAAGGATGCAATTGAATTTAATGAAGTCCAAAGCGCCATCCAACTATTAAACAGAGATGTTATTGACAATGAGATTGGATTTATTTTGGGATGGGGGTCAACAACTTATCCGACGCTCTCATACCCAACTACAATGCAAAAAGCCGCGATGCGTGTAATTCCACAAGACTATTATCCTAAAATGTTTAGATTTATTGTGCACGATACTCAATTTTGCGCATTGAATAAAAAAGGAGTTGGACCCTGTCTGGCAAGTATTTGTATTTAAATTATTATACTCAACTCGGTAGTGTTACTGATAAATTTTAATTAGCCTTTTTTCACTTGATGTGTACTAGTCTGAATAATAAGTTCTTTAAATATTTGATTGAATTTCAAATAATTTCACAGACAATTACTATATCTCCTAATATGGCTTGTCACACTTAGTATAGACTTAATATGATCAATTGATATATTTTTTTAATGATGGGAAGACAAAAGATTTTTACAATATTTAATAAAATAAAAAATATTGAAAATCGTACTTGTTAAATTTTTTATTGCTTATACATAAATATATTTAAAATTTTAATGCCTATAATTTTACAGGGCGATAGTGGAAATCCGTTAATCTTGGATGGAAAACTGGCCGGTTTAGTATCAGTTATGCATCCATGTGCCCTTGGTACACCTGATATTTATACAAAAATTTATTATTATGTTGATTTTATAAGAGAGATGATGAATAGATAATATAATTTGCATAGATACTCTCATATACCGTTAAATATATCTAAATATACCGATTTATCACCAGCAGTATCTTACCTATGTACGTCCTCACTCCTACCACTAGAAATTACTAAAATTACAAGAAATTAAAACATTCCATTACTACTATCCTAATTGATTAATGTATAAATAATAAGATGATAGAATCGATCAATTTTATAAAAGTTTCAGAAAAGAAACTTTTATGTATAAAAATTTTGAAATGTATTCAGTTGCCCTTTATTGTAGTTTTTATACTGTACTGTTCAATTAATAAATTATATAATTGTTAATGTTGTAGTAAATTGAATTTAGTATAAATCTGTTAGCATAAGTCTGTTTAAGATATATTGATTTTTACAAATTTCAATAAAAAGCTAAATGTAAATTACTTGTAAGGGCCCTCGCAATAAACGTGTGAATATTTGACGTCTACAGTACAGCTGTAATAATAACTTATTTATTTGAAATATTTTATAACATGAAATCTATAAGAGTGACTCAGCAGAATCGTTTATCGTGAGTGGAATACTCGATTTTTTATCATCATTTCTGTGTTCGTGAACTCATGGCACACCTGATACCTACACAAAAATTTACAATTATATCGATTTGTAATGCACCATTAAATAGATTCAAATCTGCCGTATACTCCACCGTATTTTACTATTATTCACTAGTATTTACTAGTCAATCTGACTCAAGATAACAATTATTACATCATTTATCGATATTTATATTAAGGAAATTATATCTCATTAGGAATAATGAAGGAGGATATTAGTTACTATTTTTAAATTGAAGTAAATTTCTTCGACTTTCGCCATGAATGATACATAAGTTTTTATCTAATGTTGCTTTCGAAAAATAATAAAGATAAAGATTTGTCTGTATGTTAAATATGTATGGAGAATGAGTCACTAACGTTTCATGGATAATTACGTAAAAAAAAACAACTGATCAAATGTCTCAGGCCAAATCGAAAACTAGTTTCATTCGTTATTAAATTTTTGTTAAATTTAATTGTAAGTCAGCGACGGGTTCGTTCTATGAGTCACATTGCATTGCTCCACGAGATCCGTTTGCCAAAATCATCCCGAGGAAGGCTAATTAAGAAAATAGTGGATTAAGTGTCAATGAGCTGGGAGATAATCAATTGAAAATTGAAAGGATCGATGCCCCTTATCACTGGCCAAGTGCAATTTTGAGTTCTTAATGTCACTCGGGGATGGCAAAAGTAAGGCTCTGCGCGATCGAAGAGCTCCGCCATTGTTTCACTATTTTGGATCTTCTTAATATATTTCATATTTCGAACATTGAATGATGAACGCTTTATTGGCAATGCAATTATAGAATGAAATTTGATATTTCTATATAATTAGTATCTAACTTAATTGACTACTTCTTTAATAAACGAAATAAATAAAGATCTATATAAATAAAAACCCAAATATGTTGTGATGGATTAATAATCAGCAATCAGTATATTCTGACAGCCGCTCATTGTCTTTTCACTCAATCAGGAGATTACAGTAACATTAGAGTATACACGGGAATAACTTTTATGGATGCTGTTTCAAGAGGAGGACACGATATCGCTCGAGTTTTCTTTCATCCTGCATACACCGGGGAACATACAATTGAACAAATGATCCAACACGATATTGCAGTTGTCAAGGTAGCGGCAATTTCACGATTTTTTAAAAATTCTTTATGCTTATGATATCTTATGATATCCATGACTCAAAGAAATTTCTTAAATCATCTAATAAAAACGGTTTATTCTACAGTGGGGTTCCATATCTCATCCAAACAATACATTTCCCATGCAATTGCAAAAAGCTTATATGTACATTTACCCGTTAAGGGACTGTTTTGAAATTTATAATTTGGAAACGGCTGTTGGACAATTTTGTGCGTATTATAAGGAAAATGTCGGACCGTGCATTGTAAGTTTTCCAACTCATATCATACTGTTTTTTTCTTTTATTCGCTGCTTTTATTCGCTAAACAATGATATTTACATTTTTTTGTATTCAATTTGTTCCTTTGTATATATTACTGAACTTATCAAACCTTTGAGAGTGATAACGGTCGATTGGTAATTAACAAAAAGATTGCTGATATATTTCTATTCAGTATTCCAGGTGCTAAAGGCATACTTGATTTTTATATGAATATTTACTTTTGCGACAATGTTATTAGGAACGTGCGAACTTTAAAAGTTTAGAATTTTGTAATTGTGTAATGTATAATATAATGTTTTCATGTAAATTAATTTATTAATGGTTTGAAATTTTTACGTGGTTTAACCTATAAGTGCCATAATTTCATATTATTAAACTTTCAAAAAATTTTATTATTTCTTAGATAATTAGGGTTCGTATGAAGCTTGTAAATGTGTTTTATTTCATGATAAAAGACTTTTAGGAATTTTATAGTATGTCATTAAAATATTTTCTAATGTTTCAAAGAAATTTTGTTCAGATATTATCTTATCGTTACAAAAATATTTGATTATCGGTTTATTGCCAATATAATTTTATAATATAATATTCAATGAATATGATTTATTTGAATATATTCCAGCAAAAGCTCCGTATTAGTATAATTTAATGTAATACATATATAAAGACCGGTAAAATATATATTCTTACCTATTTATTTAGAATATTCAATATGAGATATCTAATTGCAATTTGTATATTTGCACTCCAAACTATCGGTAAGTTTATTTTTTTCATTCTTTAATTGATTATGTTAATATGATTTAGCCGTTATTTTGTTGCATAAAATTATCGATAATATAAATTGTAACAAATTACCGAATCTTTATTCTGTTTTAACATTGTAATCGATTAATGGATAAATAAACAGTTTCGAGTTATAAATAATATTTTATAAGAGTTTCAGAAAAAAATCCGTATTAGAGAAAATTTTTTAATAAACTCAGATGCTATTATTTTATGGCTTTTATATTTCAACATAATATTATTTATTATATATTTAAAACTTTGAAATCGTTTGAAATATTAATAATTGAAAATCAAACATGAGCTACGAAATAATGTTCATCTAATTTATTGTCCTACGACCTTTTCATAATTAATGATTCGTATATCTTACTAATTATAAATTAATATAGGCGTCTTCGCAAAAAATGTGCGAGTTATGGGCCGCGAATTTTGCAGATGTGCGATCATATCCATTTATAGCCAATTTTAAACACAATCAATTTCCGAATATTATTGGAAGTGGTGCAATAATAAGTAATAATCACATTCTTACCACAGCTCAGGTTTTTTTTATGATTTCTCAATTCATAGTAATCCTGTTAGAGACTACGCAGGAAAAATGTCCTTTGAAACGAATGTAGGATCTGCGCATGTGCCTGAACAGATATATGTTCATTCAGGATAGGCAGCTATATCCAATTTTGACAAATTGTATCTTCATGATATTACAGTTGTAAAGGTAAATTACTTGGAACTAATAGAGTAAAATAATATATTGATAAAATTTTGTGGCAAATTTTCTCGATACGAATATTGAATCCAACCTTATTAAAGCAATGGACTATATTTTTGATATATTCCATATTTTTCAATTTGCGGCAGTCCTATCTTTCAGCTCAATCAAGCAATTGAATTTTATACATTCCAAAATGTCATAAAGATTCGAAACAGAGATGTTATTGACAATGAGATTGGATTTATTTTGGGATGGGGGTCAACAACTTATCCGACGCTCTCATACCCAACTACAATGCAAAAAGCCGCGATGCGTGTAATTCCACAAAACTATTATCCTAAAATGTTTAGATTTATTGTGCACGATACTGAATTTTGCGCATTGAATAAAAAAGGAGTTGGACCCTGTCTGGCAAGTATTTGTATTTAAATTATTATACTCAACTCGGTGGTGTTACTGATAATTTTTAATTATCCTTTTTTCACTTGATGTGTATTAGTCTGAATAATAAGTTCTTTAAATATTTGATTGAATTTCAAATAATTTCACAGAGAATTACTATATCTCCTAATATGGCTTGTCACAATTAGTATATACCGAATATTTCACTCGATATATTTGTTGACACAATATGAAAAAACTTGATTTCTTCAATATTTAGTTAAAGCGATTATGGTGAAAATCGCAGTTGTAAAATTTTTAAATATGTTTAAGACTATTGCTTATAATTTTCTAGGGCAATGGTGGCGATATATTTGTTGTGGGTGGAATACTCCCATCTTTATCATCACTTGTGTGTTCATGCGCTCATAGTACACATGATACATACACAAAAATTTACAATTATATCGATTTGTAATGCACCATTAAATAGATTCAAATCTGCCGAATACTCCACAGTATTTTACTATTATTCACTAGTATTTACTAGTCAATCTGACTCAAGATAACAATTATTACATCATTTATCGATATTTATATTAAGGAAATTATATCTCATTAGGAATAATGAAGGAGGATATTAGTTACTATTTTTAAATTGAAGTAAATTTCTTCGACTTTCGCCATGAATGATACATAAGTTTTTATCTAATGTTGCTTTCGAAAAATAATAAAGATAAAGATTTGTCTGTATGTTAAATATGTATGGAGAATGAGTCACTAACGTTTCATGGATAATTACGTAAAAAAAAACAACTGATCAAATGTCTCAGGCCAAGTCGAAAACTAGTTCCATTCGTTATTAAATTTCTGCTAAATTTAATTGTAAGTCAGGGACGCGTTCGTTCTTTGAGTCTCTTTGCATTGCTCCACGAGTTCCTTTTTCTATAGTGACTGATCCAGGGTTAGAGCAAGAAAAATTAACTTACAAATATTATAATTTTTATAAAGATAATTAATATATATATTTATATATATTATTTGTATATACATGTAATGATCAATGTTTTAAATAATACAAAGTCAATCACTGATATTGTAAAAACTTTCTTTTTCGTCAAATTCATGAATGTATTTCTCATGTACTAATTGATAAGAAATTTGTTAAAATTTAAACCGATGACGAATATTTAAAGTTTATTGAAATTTTGATTTCATATTAGAATTAAATAAATTTAGTTATTTGTATATAATTTGCATCTAATTTAATTCAATATATCTCTAATAAAAGACATAAACAAATACGTATTAATTTATTTCAAACGGAAAATGAGTTATTAGATAATTTCTTGACTTTTTATTTGTAATATACACGGTCGGTAAGTCAATATCATAATCGCAATATTATAATTAATAACTGTGTTATAGTTTATTATTATATCAAGAAATCGAATATAATATTTTAACCAGTTTTTCTTAATGCTAAATAATTATTATTTTCTATTCTCTATCTGAATGTTGGTTTTATATTAGAATAATTTGGAAAAAAATTTATATTCAACGAGCATGTTGAAAAAAAATTATATCAAATAACTATAATGCATATTAAAAATACATACATACATATATATATATATATATATATATATATATATATTTATTTAATGGCTACTAAATATTCAAGTAGTTATAAAGTATAAATATTAATAATAAAACGTATAAAGTATTTGTATCTAAATTATATTCGAATTTGCTTAAAGTATGGAAATGATGTCATTGATATTATTATTACTGCGTGAACAAGTTTAATAAAATCGGAAAAAACTTTTATCATGGCTATAAGTTGTAAAAAAAGAAAAAACAATAAAATAATAAAAAGTATGCAATTAGTTGTTTAATAAATTAAAAAAAAAATAATGTTCTCTGTAAAACTGATTGGTAGATATATAATCTCTTTTTAATTTAGCATTGTTTGGTAAAGATTTGTATTAAATATATGCATACACTTATATACACATTTGTATGTAACATAATTTATTCAAAAAATTGCAATAATAGTTTTCGTTTAATCGTCTAAATTCTGATGACGTGTTGTATCGATTTTAATGAATGTTTGCAAATTTTTAGGTTCTTTCACCAAAGATTTGCGGATCATCGGGGGTCAGAACGCTCGAATAAAAACATATCCATTTATGGCGTCATTTAGATATATCAGAAATAATGTAGTAGTGTGCGGGGGTTCAATAATCAGCAATCAGTATATTCTGACAGCCGCTCATTGTCTTTTCACTCAATCAGGAGATTACAGTAACATTAGAGTATACACGGGAATAACTTTTATGGATGCTGTTTCAAGAGGAGGACACGATATCGCTCGAGTTTTCTTTCATCCTGCATACACCGGGGAACATACAATTGAACAAATGATCCAACACGATATTGCAGTTGTCAAGGTAGCGGCAATTTCACGATTTTTTAAAAATTCTTTATGCTTATGATATCTTATGATATCCATGACTCAAAGAAATTTCTTAAATCATCTAATAAAAACGGTTTATTCTACAGATAAAACATGCGATTGTATTTAATCAGAATAAAAACATGATAGATCTTCCAGACAGAGACATAGATGACGAAGACAGTGGCTATGTGTTGGGCTGGGGTTCCATATCTCATCCAAACAATACATTTCCCATGCAATTGCAAAAAGCTTATATGTACATTTACCCGTTAAGGGACTGTTTTGAAATTTATAATTTGGAAACGGCTGTTGGACAATTTTGTGCGTATTATAAGGAAAATGTCGGACCGTGCATTGTAAGTTTTCCAACTCATATCATACTGTTTTTTTCTTTTATTCGCTGCTTATATTCGCTAAACAATGGTATTTACATTTTGTTGTATTTAATTTGTTCGTTTAGAAATATTATTGACCTTGTCAAACTTTTCAGGGTGATAGCGGTGGTCCATTGGTAATTAACAAAAAGCTTGCTGGTGTTGTTTCATTTAGTATGCCATGTGCTCAAGGCATACCTGATTTTTATACCAATGTTTACTATTATCTTGATTTTATTAGGCCAATTATTACATCTTAATATAAATAGATTCTGAATTTTTCGAATAAGTAAATAGATACTGGGCTTGTTAATATTTTTAACACTGAATATGAATTTTAAATCGTTATATAATATATTATACATCTATGAGGTCAAAGTTAATAGGAATTAACATTCCATTAACAACGAGTTATGGTGTAGAGTAAGAAAAATGTATCTTAAATACTGTACAACTTTTTGAATATATATGTCATAGAGATAATTGTAACATTTAAATAGATATATTTTCTAATTTAATATCTACAAACTAATAATGTCTTACTGTTCATTAGCTAATTAGATACTAAGGATTATTCAATTATCTTTACTCAATCTTATGATGAATGTAAATATTGTTTTAGCTATAATACGCACGCAAATTTGAAAAATCGTGGTAAGACATTTAAGTCGTAGCCTTCTCTAATCTCTATATTATACTTCTTATTTTGATAAATTTAATACCTGAGAATACCTGGAAATTTTAACAACGAAATAAATTTTTATGCGGTGAAAATATTTTTTCGGTGATAAAATTAATATAGTTTATCAACAGTATTTCCTAGAATGCTTGATATTACATTACACTTTTCTTATACTAAAAATTATAAAGATATTGTATCAAATAGAATAACGTAAATAAGCTTAAAAATGCTTTTGTAAGCCTAATAATAATAAAAAAATAAGTTTCAAATGTTGTAATAAGTAATATTAAAATATATATGTTTCATTATGCTGTACATAAAATCGAATTTCTTATTTAATAAAAAATACCTATTATATTTAATTATCATATAAATGTATATAATAGTATGAATAAAATTTTCAAGTTTCATTTCTAATAACATATGTAGTTAAGTCAAGAAATACTAAAAATTCATTGTTGTTGTACAAAAAAGATTTATGTGAATAATTACCTTTACATTTTATGTTTTAAATGTATTTTTAAATATCTTTGAAGCTGAATTAATTGCTTCAAATGTAGTCATTATTATTCCAATAATGTTAAGTAGTGTATTTTACATATTTCTATTATGTATTATTTTATATATTGTATAAAGTTAAATAAATTGGCCAAATGTATGTGGACGTGACTATAATTGCTTTGAAAACATTTGAAACTTGCCTATTAAAGTTTTGTTTTATTATCGATTTCAATTAGGTTCGCATTCAATTAAGTAAGAAATCTATAAGCCTCTAGTTGAGACTTTTTAAAATATTTCCAAAAAGCATTATTATAATTATCGTCGTTGAGTAGGTACAAATTAATATGTATCAATACAAATGGATATATTAACTTATCGTTACGAAAATATTTGATTTTCGATTAATTGCGACTATTTGTTAATATTATTTTTAAAGATACTCATTAATCTTTAGAAAAAAGTATTGGTATAAAAGGTTTAAATTCTTCTGATGTAATAAGTATATAAAGAACGTAGGTGTTACAAATTTATTTAGAATAGTCAAAATGAGGCTTCAAATTGGAATCTTTTTATTTGTATTATCCACTGCCGGTAAGCATATTTTTTTATTTGGATAGTTTTAAATGAATCGTTATGAGTATTGCTGAGCATTCAAATAATATAATCTTTTATCATTGTTTTAAAATTTCTTTATTAATAATACTTTAATATAAGGAATTAGTATTATCATTATATATAATATTGGCTCTTTCGTACCTTTTTTTTTTTTTTTAATATAAATATGTTATTAATATATATATAATGTTTTAGGGGTATTCGCGAAAATTCAACGGATCCTTAGGGGTCAAGGTACTGATGTCAGAACATATCCATTTATGGCATCGATAAGATATGCCAGTAGTAATATAATAGCCTGTGGTGGTTCAATAATCAGCAATCAACATATTCTGACAGCCGCTCATTGCCTTTTCTATGATTCAACGAATTACAATCGTTTTTTAATATATACTGGTATAACTGATACGAGTACCACTGACGGACAAGTACATAGAATTGATCAAGTTTTCTATCATCCTAGATTTACAGGGGTTAAAAGTCAGAAAGAGATGGATCGCCATGATCTCGCAATTGTTAAGGTGCAAAGCTTTTAATAAATGAAAAAATAGTATTAAAGATTTTTTTATTATAAATTTAATAATTTCAATTGACATTGTTCATTTATTATTTTTAAGATTATCATTCGAATCAGCGATAGGTATTACAAATTTGAGACAGTTTCGACATTAAATGAAGATCATTTTTAATTAATTTATTAGTCGCTTAACATTTTAAATAAAAAATTTTTCTTTGTTACAGGTGCAAGAATTAATTCAATTCAATGACTATCAAAAATCAATAGATCTTCCAGACAGAGATATTGCTGACGATGATTCTGGTGTTATTTTGGGATGGGGAGCCATAACTCATCCACAAAATACCTATCCTGAATATTTACAGAAGTCTTTTATGCGTATTTTTCCCATAAATTATTGTTATAGACTTTATGATTTTAAAATGCACGTTGGTCAAATTTGCGCGGTTAATCAGGAAGGAGTCGGTCCATGCATGGTAAATATATTAAATTATTACATAGTATTTTATTTGATTATAGAGGAATTTTAATTTTTATTCATGAATATATATTAATTTGCTGTTGCAAAATTATTTTAATCTTTAAGTAATATTCTTGTAGTAATATTCTTGCCTATTTAAATTATTTTTTGAAAAAATATTCTTAACGTATTATATTATATTATAGCTAATTTTATAAAATATTTACAGGGCGATAGCGGTGGCCCACTTGTAATTGATGGGAAAGTCGCCGGTGTGCTTTCAATTTCTCTTCCATGTGCTACAGGAATACCTGATATATATACCAAAGTTTATTATTATCTAAATTTTATTAGGCAAATTTTAAACCCTTAATCTACATTATCTTAATTATTTAAAACATTAATAAATGATTCATATATACATTAATTTTCCAATTTTATTATTATCTTCCCAATATCTTTAATGGTTTTGATATTTTACATATTATATAGTATATTATATATGAGGTAGTGCACCAACGTAATAGTGATGGCATAACGAATCACTGACCTTTTCAAAGTCTTTTCAACCTCTTTTAGTTGGCAAATTATTATATCACCGCCAAACTTTGACCAGTAAACATTTTTGTAATAACCATTAAAGTATTATTTATCAAAATTTGTGACAATGCTCTTAACAAAATAATAATCTTCATCCACCACTTCTGTAAGGAACTCCAACCTCTGTTCTCCGATTAACCGTAACACTGAAAGCGAAACTTCTTAATGTAATCACATTAATATATTATATTATAATTAATTTTCTCATAATATAAATATTATTAGTTCATATTTTTCGAATTGCTTTTAAAATATTTACTTTGAATTACATCTAAAATAATTTACAAATTTCACAAACTATTATTATCATACTTTTTTAGATTATATTTAATAATAGTATTTGAATAAATTTGGAAATATGAATCGTAATAGTAATTTAATTACATAATTACAGATAATGTATTTTTATGCTATAGTACATTCTATGAAATATTAGTATCCGATAACATTAATAACATTTTTTCAAAATACAAATTTGATGTCAAATTAAAAAAAAAAATAAATATGCTTAAATCAATTGTTTTAAACAAATAACTTCGCTATACTATACTTTTAAGTAGTATACTTGATTGATTATTTGTAACGGATTAGCTTTGTATATACATATATATATGTACACACACACACACACACATATATATATATATATATATATATATATATATATATATATGTATTTGATATTCAAATTAATAGTCTGTTGTAATTTATTATACTTATAAATTTTTTCTAAATTATTATCGCTTATTTTTACATGTAAACTCATTTTAACTTATTAATTGTAATAATGTTTTTGGATCTTTAATATACATATGTTTAAATACATGATACATATTTTTAAATAGTTGAGAAATTTAGAGGTAAAATATTATATTTTGTTTAGAATTAAACATTACTATCAATAATTTTTTTTAGTACATAATAATTAATTGTTCTAATTATCATATTATAGTACTATTAATGTTTTAAATATATTATTGTAATAGCGATTATTTGAAAATATGGTTAATTATGTTCAAACTAATAAAGATATTGCATATTTATAAAAAAATTCTACCTTTTTTTTTTTTAATATAGATTTCACATACTAGAAAGTTGAATAGTAAATCTTAAGAAATTTTCAATTACTCTTTAAAATATATTTTATAAAAGGTCATTCGCATTAAAAATTATTTCTTTTTAAATAAATAGAATTATAAATGATAATAACAAATTATAAATGCATGAAACATACGTAAGGTGAATTAAAATGTAGAAAATAAATATTTCTGTTCTTTTTTTCAATTTTTGTAAAGATATTACAGTTTCTAATACAGGAAAATAGGTATCAATCGAATTAGATCCAATGAAACTGCCATTTGATTAACGTCTTTACAGCATATAGTGCTTGCAAGTGTGTGTAGATTAACTGCTACGTAACAGATACCACTACCTTACCTTCTACGTTTACAGCTAATTAGTTCGAAGATCATTATATATGATGCATCGTTGATAGTTATGATTTTACATAACGGTTCAGTTACATATGTGGAACCAGAGAGGTATTCGTTAGTTGAAACTGTGAATGTATTATTACATCATTGTACAAGTAATGCCAGTATCAGTCTAAAAGTTATTATTCTAAAACCGTTTGTTTAATTTAAGTGCGAAGTGCTACTTTATAGTAGAGAGTAAATATTTTATTTTAAAAAATTTGTGAAATTGTATTGCTTATTATAATAGATCGATTTAGTCTTTTTAATTATTATAATGTATACTTAGAATATAGTTTGATAATATGATGTTCGTAATTCTAAAGTTTTAAAGTAATACAGTTTTCTATTTCTATTTGATATTTAGATATTGTTCAGAATAAAATGTATGTAAATTAATAATTACAAATAAAGATAAATGTATAAGATATTATTTAATATAAATTTTCATATATTGAAAATAATTTATTTTAATTATAATAATGCGATAAAATAGAGAATTATATATATAAAGCAATATATCGATGTATATAAACAAATATGTTTACATTTAAACATTGATATAATACTTTTACTTTATCAATGCACATAAAAACCCATTAAATTATTTACTGAATTGAAAGAACTCATAAAATTTGTTACTGCATCGTTATAGTACACACATTTGACATTTTGCACAAAAAAAATGTGAGGCAGAATTTTTAATTTAAATCTGAATAAAAGTATTATCTTATTGCGTAGACTACATCACAATTAGGACAATTAGTTATATAATGTTATTTGCGTAAAAATTAAAAATTTGTTATTTTTGTTTATTTAGTATTTAAAACAAAAATCTTAGACAACTTATATAAGCAAATATTTTAACGAAAATAAGATATAATTTAAATATAAAATTTATATATATTTGATTAAAATTAGTGTTTTATTACAATTTTATAAACAAAATCTAACGCTTTCGGTACTTTAAAATTTATTCATTTTACTTATTATTTTTTTTTTATATTATTTTTTTATGAAAAAGTGTTATTAATTTATCTTATACGTTGCATTAAAGCAATAATTATTAACGGATAATTTTTGAACAACCTATTGGCATATGTTTATATATTCTTTTCACATGGTACTTAGTTTAACGTAGTTATATTATTTTTTATATTTATTTTTCTCATTATCGATATAAACTTTTAATACCGAAATAACTTATATTTATAGACTTTTCTTAATACTTATTTTAAGTATTACCATGTACAAGTTTTTTATTATTCTATGTAATATTCTTATGTTAATTTAATTTTAATCATAATTAAATTTTATTATTTAATATATTCTATTTCTTTTACAGCTCTGTATTAACTTGTAAAACAAATGCTTAGTTTCTTAAAAATATAATAATCATTATATTTACATACCCATTGGCTAATAGCTATGGGTATTATAAATCCTATAATAATACTGTACGTTTGCGTACGTCTTAAGTTGAGAGTCCGAAGTTACGAGCTTCGATTGTATTCTCCATATTGATCATCGTTTGACCTAACTTCCACGAACATCAGTAAGCCTACGACAATCGTGGGCAATCGGATTTAAAAGCAATCGATGAGCAATTCATCAAATTTCTAGAGAACTTGCTTTTTTATTATTAGCACCATCACAGAATGAGGCATAGAGGTACAGAGCCCATCTATGGTCGGAGAACTCGAGCAATTTTTCTCTTATAAAATTGAGAATATGATTCTCAAACACTTTTACGTTGATGACAGTACTAATATGGTAGATTGATACTACCTGATAATTCCGATAGACACTTGGGAGAAGATTCGTGGTTAAAACGGTCTACTATTTCTAATCCCTTAGATCCCTAAGAATGACTTATTGATTAAACCATAATTCAATTACTAGAAAATTTTAAATCATGCTGTGTTGCCTTAAATCTATGAAAATATTAGGTACTGTTGGATCGTCATTATATATAAACGAATTACCAAACCACAATTTCCCTTCCATCTGGTCAGTCCATTCCCCCTACGAGCATTTTCTATATCTTCAACGATCGTTTACTCACGCTAACACTTTTTTGTGTAACCGTCTATCGATTGTCTATACTTTCATACAATTTCACGCACTGCCGTCGATGCTCTTATATTCCTTATCATTAACGTTTTGGCATCGATTATTTTTTCAGTATTCTGCTTTATCCGTTCCTTGACCTCCGTCGTTATTTTGTTGAAATAAAAACATAAGATATTTTTAAGTATAGTCCGTAAATGTGTCCTGGTGCAACGGTGTATCCAAAATATCGATCGAAATGTTAAAAAATTGGCTCGTCTTTAAAATTTGTGGCTACCAGCAACTGATCCGTAATTCAAAATACCTTTGAGTTTTCTCAGCTTCTTTCTATTGGCATAGATGAGCCAACCTCTTGCTGATGATTGATACTTAGATAAGAGCTTTTTATTAAAAAATTCTAGAATATATTTGCGAATTTTTATTAATTAACGTACATAAAAAACATTTATTGGATTACATTATTAATTCTACGTTTAAGTAGACTTAATACAATAAAAATGTGGCAAATATTATTTTAATAGATTGAGATGGATAATTATTTGTGCCATAGGTGGGATTACACAATATTATTTTCAAATTTTAGAAACATAGTATAATTAAAAATGATATTACATTACAAATATTTTAAAGTCATCCTACTTAAAGTTATACTATTAATATTGTAGAAATGTGTGTATATAAAGTAGCTAGTAATTCGTAGAAATTAAAAATTTTTTTATCTTAATTATTTGCATCGTTTTGTGATTTTTAGCTTTTAGACTATTCGTAAAAAGAAGTATAGTAAAATTACTCGATCAAAGATTTTAGAATTTATAATCAAGACTTATGCAATTATCTTATTATTTTCTACATCATATTTAAAGTAATAAATAAATTTTTATATGTTTTACTTTAAGTTATTAATTGTATTAATGTGAATTATTTTTATTAAATAAGGAATTTATTACGGAATATATTATATTAAGGAATATAATTAAGTAATATATTACATTAAGAATTATTTATATTCAAAGTAAATATATATTTCAGAAATTATATAATAATATAAAAATTAAAAGTAAACTTTGAAAATTGAATATTAGATTATAAATTCGTATTCACATAAAATTATAATATGAAATTTATTCTTTAGTAAATATAAATCGCAGTGCATAATATTATTACAACTTCTGTAAAAATGTAGGCCTGGCTATTGTTTAAAAGTAAAAAAATGAAAAAGTAGTAATCATTAAATATATTCAAGTGGGTTAAATAGTAAAATATTATTGTCCGTTTAAAAATAATA